TTTGTATAATAGCATCATTGATTTTTAGTTTAAGGCTAGTTAAATTGTAAAAAAATGAAAGATTGGTTATGAGTTTCGCTTATATGAGTTTGGTTACGGATAACAATTGTAATGACATTCCCCGTTAATCTTACGAAATTTATTATTTCATCATTTTTTTTGCTCATGAACCAAAATGAGAGACATAATTGCTGTTTAAGCTTTTCATGTAAGTTTGTATGATAAAACATAATTAAGAATGTAAATACAAGCAAACATAAAAGTTATTTACTGAAATTTAACAAAATTATAATAGATTTATAAAAAAAATAGTGCATAGCTCTTACCACTCTGCGTGATTATACGGGCAGCGTGATTATACGTTCTGCATGATTATACGGTCTGCGTGATTAACCGGTTCTTTTTATGAGGGTAAAATTTATGAAGATTATAACATACATTTTTTGAACCTTAAAAAAAACGGAAGAGGAGATATTAGGGGTTGCAAGTTAATATAAATGTTAAAAAAAAAAAAATCTCATATTATAATGACTCATTGTAGAGAATATAAAAACACATGCGATTTACTAATTTATTTCAATAACATATACTCAATTTTTAAAAAAAATTATTATTAATTATCATTAAATCTAACTATTAATAACGATAATTAATTACGATTAGATATTATAAAACTTTTTTATGCATGTAATATTTTTAAAACACAGTCTTCATAATTACACAGTTATACTTCTTTATTGTTTTGTGAAATTTAACAACAATATGTGAGCTTAATATAAATATTCAAAGATGATGCTGAGTAAATAGAAAACAACAGAAATAGTATAATAATAGAAAGAGTATAATAGAAAGTATAATAGAAAACAGTACTTTGTTTCTGTTTGTAAATTAATTACTTGATAACACACAATATATTTAAATGCTGGGCTGTATGAGGTATTAATGTAAGCGAGAATTCATAATTGCCTGAGAGGCATTCTAACAAAAAAAATTCAATCATTTTTGTAGTTCTAAAATTCTTATATATTGTGTATGACTTATATATTGTGTATGAATGTAGACTAAAGTAAAACACTGCCGATGTGCGTTGAGGGTTAAAATTATTGTAATGGGCAGCAGTCCAAGAGGAAGTGATGGGAAATAAATATTAGTCCGTTAAAAGGTTTTCATTTTGTTATTGTATTTCAGATAATATATTTTGATACTACAAGTGAAAATCCAGTTAAAATTAGATCCTTTTAAATAAGATAAGTTACAGAACGCTTTGTTTCCAACCAATTGCATTCTAATTGAACTATCATAGACTGATTATACGTCGATTGCACTGTCACGCACCATTTTTAATTAATTAATAATTATTATTAATTTCCTTTTGTTTTCGCATTATCTGGCACATGCTGAAGTGATTGAATTTTTTTTATATATATTAACCTTCAATGCACCACAATCAGTAGGGTAGAATAACAATTGTCTAGTTCCAGCTTAAAGATTATTAATGTAACCGAGATTTCTCAAAATATATGTAACTTTTTTTTTATTTCCTTGAGAATCCCGAAAACTTCAAACGTATGAATAATCTTATACTATCTTATTTTGAGAATTTTTAATGCTTCATAATTAGAATTTGAAAGAAGGATTAAGATATATAAACTAAGTGTGTTGTTATTTTAAACAAATTTTTTTGTGGGAACTATTAAATATGTATTATCATATCATAAAATTCTTTATGAGAAAAAAAGGATTAGTATCATATTTTTTTAACGTATACTAATTATAATAATAAAGCAAACAAAAATTATGAAATAAAAGTTATGATAATGTTTAATTTTTAACTTTGGAAAAAATAAATTAATATTTTAGAAACAATTGTGCTCGCTTAAAATAAACTCGACATACATTAAATAAATACTTAAGTCAATGCAAGTTTTATTTTAAGTGCCGTGAGACTACTTGGTGCAATATTATATATCGTGAAAAGGTTCTAAAGCTTCACCTTAAAATTTTTGCATTAAATTTTTTTAAGTGGGTAAAAAAAATTAAACAATGAAATCAATTTCAAAATAAACAAATAAAATACATATTTTAATTTATGATAAAAAGTATTAAGAACAATACCAAAGTTTCTCCAAAATATCTATTTTTTAATTGAATATCATTGAATCGAATGATAATCTCTACAGAAATCGTAATTCTCCAAAAAGTCGTAACAGTCTTTCGAAATCATAACTAATAACCAGTCCTTAAACCTGATTGTCCTTAAACTAAAAATCAATGATACTATTGCAATCAAATATATTATTTTCTATCCAAACCAGTTCCTTAATGTAGTTAAATAAATGCTTTAGTTATAAAATTTTGACGAGAAGCATACATCACTTCATGTTTATTGGGGAAAGTACTGTTAAAAGTACATGAGTGTTGTAAAAGTATGTTTATCGGGGATTCAGTTCAAGACTGTTAGGGAGACTGAGGGGTTGACGTCGTGATGTCATCATTAACTCTGTATAACCCCTATACCGTTGATGTGAAGTCTTTGCAGTTCCGAATTAATTCACCGCGATTTAGTGCATTTTAATTGCCCTCTTTAACGGAACCCAATATATCCGCAAATGGAAAATTCCATCCATACGTAATCCCTCGTTTCGAGCTTTTACAGTAAGGCGTTTTAGGTTTTATGCAAAGGCTTGATAAAAGTTTGAAATGGAAAAATTTAGGATTTGTCATATTTTTACAGTAATACTTGAAAAACTCAGTTTGTTTCAAAGAGTAAGCTTGGCTTGTCTTAACCCTTACCCACCCCCGTAGGAAGCATCCAGGGAATGCTGGTAACCCGAAGTGCGCGTATATGACTACATCAGTTTGAGAGAAAAGGAACACTAAGTCCCTGATGGCAACACTGTCGGTCGCTGGACTGACCGGTGATTTGGTCTAAGCACTAAGTTACTAAGCCCTGGGTCTAAGGCAGGGACTAATATATGTATCTATGGTCTAAGGGAAACCCGGAAGGGATGATGCACAGGATATAAATGTAAGGTGGTAAAGATTTTAAAAGTAACGCATAGATATTATATTATCCCTGACGCATAGATATTATATTATCCTATATTAGTCCCTGAAGTAACGTAAGTAACTTATAGAATTAGGGAGGTCTAGCGGAGCAGCAACTGCTACCCATTGCCCCACCCCCTGACCAGAAGGCTACAAAGAATTTATTAAAGAGTATTTCAAAGAATAAAGAAGGATGGCGAAAGATTAAGCTCTTGTCCTTACTGCAGTGTTTCCCAAACTTATGACTTTTGTGCACCCTTTCTAAATTTTCCTAACGCTGTGTACCACTAATAAAAAAATGAATGTATTTCTTTAAAAATATGTTTATTTTTCTTTCTCGGTACAAAGTTTTGTTAATAAGTTTGTTTGCATCAGTGAGCAGGATGATATTGTTTTTGCTGTGATGACAGCTGCTGTGATTAAAAAATTTGCAGAAAAGTTAAAAATCACAACTGGCTGTTGACACCACTAATTATTAACTGTTAACTCTGCAAAAAATAACCAATAGAAAAATACGTAATCTTACATTTTCATGGCTAGCTTTATTTTTAAATAAAATTTTTTGAAATTTTCATTTGTTGCAAAATATTTCAGATAGGAACGCGTACCTCTGCTAAACTGTTCCTGTACCCTTGGGGGTACACGTACCACACTTTGGGAAACACTGCCTTACTGGACTAGCAGAAGTTTCTCCTGATTCAATTAAGCACTTAAACTATTCGTAATATTATGGCTCATCAATAATTCTCTTTTTCAGTTAAAATTTAAAAGCGATGATGTTTAAAATCATTCTATCAAAAAATGAAAGAAAAAAAGTTATTAGACATTCAGAAGCAGAAACAATTGTGCATTTTCTTTTTTCTTTTTTTTTTTACTGCTGTTTCTATAACATCTTATAGAATTCTGTGAAATAATTGTTTCAGCACTGATAAAGAGAAACTTAACTGATAAACTGAAACTCTTTAAACTGATAAAGAAAGTATAAAAAAAAACAAGCTTTTGCGTGTTGGTAGCATATTTAAATATTTATTATAATTATTTACAATATTACAGACAGAATATGCTTTTCATACAATTTATATTTTCAAAAAAAAAAAATAAAAATTGCGTGTAAATCAAACTTATAGCAAATTAAGGGTTTCTCTTTCAGACTTTTTGAAAAACTATTATAAGTTAATCTAATTTCTAAGTATTATGATTATTTTCTTTAAAAATCACTAAAAGAAAGTCCACCCCCTCACGAAATGGTCATTTTTACGAAAAAATAAGCATCTCAGTAGCGCCTTCAATTCAAAATTTTTCATGCTCGGCTTTAAAATCTTTTTAATTTTGATGAATGACAAAAAATGGTAAACATGGATACGCAAATATTTCGAGTGATCTTTTTTTATGCTATCACTTCTAGAATAAAAATATTTTTTTCTGCTTCTAGAATATAAATTTTCCGATATCACTTTTAGAAAAGAATAAAATTCTGAGATGTTTATTGATGCCTAGAGATTTATTGTAAAAACCATTTCTAGTAGTCGAAACATTTTCATGTGATACTCTTGGATATTATAATTGTATTCTCGAGGTAATTTTTAATAAGAGATATTGACGATATTTTGAGGGGAGTTTTAGAATCTTTCTTTAATGTTCAGAAAATTTTTATTTGTAGAATATTTTGTACTATTTTTACTTCTAAAATCTGGGGGGGGATATTTTTCCAGACAAATTTATTAAATTCATAACTTCACAAAATAACAAATAAGAAAAGTACATTTATAACCATCGGTTTTGTTGTTTAGACATTTTTAATTGGAAAGAGAGTTATAATCTTTCTAAGTGGGCTGTGTTTTTATTATAATTACATAATATTTTTCTATGATTTTACTATTAAACTCCTGTTATATACCTATTAAAATTCTATCGTTTTTAATGGAAAGTAACTGAGAAAACTTTGTTTTCAGAAACAGTGAACTCTTATGGACCTCAGCCAGACTTTCCACGTGGTAATGTTTACTACTGGTGCAATTTTAGACATCCGAACACAGAATGGTGCGAGTTTGTTATTGAAGGAGCTCGGCAGTGGAAAAGTAGAAAAGTAGGCACAGGTAAAATATTTTTCATTTTTCATTAATTTCAGAAAATTCAAAAGAACAAAATCTGATGCTTACAAAAATGATGAAATTTTATATGGTTTTTTACAGAAAAAAATAGAATCCGGTAGTAGCATTTTTTTATTATTTTGTTAGTTCGTAAGGATTTTGCCACACGCTCGCTCTCTATTTATGCCACATTAGTTGCGTGGTTCAACAATTTACAGTAAAATAATACCTACTATAAAATCCTATTGGAGCAATAGAGATTTTTTTTTCTTTTGATTTTTTTTCCTTTAAGTATTTATTTAATTAGTTATTTACTTTTTTACAATCACCCTAATATGCTTCATAAAACTGTGCTTTGAATAAGAGCATTAAAAATTAATAAAATTTTTACAGCATGTTGTATTTGCGTATTTGATTTTTTTAATTATTTTTCTATTTTGTGCATAATTTGAAATGAAAAATGTTTTAATTCATATCTAATCAAATGAATCCCCTGGTTTATATCCGTATTCATTATGCTTAAAGAAAAAAGGATTTTTTTTTTTGAAAAATAGTGTAGAAATTCATAGATTTAAATATTTAATAACTGGGAAGCTTTTATAATTTTTTTTTATTTTTAAAAACATTAGAGCCATTTTACTTAAGTGCGCGTAATGCAACTGAAAAGGTGTTGATTTTACTTATATTAACAAACAAAAATTCTGAGAGGGTACGTTGATTCCTTAATTATTGAGGAATTAAAATCAAATTTGCATATTTCAGATTTGGATGAGTTCATAAATTTTATATCTTATAAATTTTTTCTCATATTTTTATGTGCAGTGTAGCTCATAAATTACTCCCATAATATTAAAAAACTAAACCATACTAATGATAGAGATCAAAAAGAGTACATATTAGGGGTTACAAATTAGTATTTTTGCAAACAAAAGCAAAAATAAACTATCGAAATCTGACAAATCGCAGTTGAGAGAGGCAGTTGAATGAAACACTAAAACCTGTTTGATTGCATAGGAGATGAAAGACGTTTATTAAAAAAAAACGCATTCATATATTTACCTGAAATCAAGCAAGTTTTGATGTTATGTACGTACAAACTTTTTTTTAAAATGTCATTTGGCAGAAAAAAAAACTGAAGAAAGGAATTTTCTGAAAATAATTGTTTTTTTTTTGTTGTTTTTTTTGTTGATTTTTTTTTAGAAATCTAGAGAGAAAGATAGTAATCAAAGAAATTTTTTTTTAATACTAACATACTTAATATTTAAATACATTTTACTTTTTTTACAGTAATCTCAAGATGAAAAAAAAGCCTAATTTATTTTAGATAATATTTTAAAATTTTATAATCTTAAAGGTGATTATACTTTGCGAAATCATTTTGCCTCATTTTTATATTATATGCGTCATTTATTTGTAAAGAAATGTAGTGTTTATGTTTATATTATTTCCACTTGGAAATTAAGTGTTTATCGTACTGTTCTTAAAGAACTCTTTGGAACCTATTTTAAAATAGCAATTTTATGAATATGCCAAAAAAATTCTCATTTTTTTGTTGCCTTTTTTGATACGACACATTCATATGACACATATCATATGACACATTCTTATTTTCATATGACACTTTCTTATTTTCTAATATATGAGTAAATCCAATATTTAATTATTTATTTAAAAAATTATAAATGATAAATTTATATGAGGTTCATTCTTTTGTTATTGAAAATAATTAGGATGAATCATGATTTAAAATTGAAAGAAAAACTTTTCTTATTAAATTATTTTCCATTATGAAATGCAAATAATCATGCTTCATAAAAACATCAAACAGTCCTTCATGTTCATTTTATTGAGTTATAGCGTGATAAATAACATTGATTTATTTTAACAAAAAAACTAAACCTTCACCACTTAAAAATATTTAAGTGCTAGTATATTAGCTAAAGCAAAAATATTTTTCCTCACTCGAAAAATATTCGAACTATATATTATAGTTTTCTCTTAATACAAATCTGATTACCTCGTACCCTAGCACTTCCGAGCATGACGTCACAGATTTACTGACAGGCCTTGGCTCTCAGTGGCTATGATTGGGCACACAAGAAATCAAACATGGTAGACAGAAGACGCTCTTTATTTAGACATAATGAAGAAAAGACAACAAAAAAATCACACTGAAAATGACACGCATCGTCTTTTACCTAATGGATTTTAAAAGGGAAAGATCACAAGTTATCCGGAACACGAGTCTAATATAATAATTATGATAGGATAGAATACTTTGAAAGAAGTGTCTCTCGGGATTTCAGATTTCCCTATTATGATTATAGATATTTATACTATAACGATAATTATTATGATAATTATACTATTATGATAATTATTATGATAATTATACCATTATGATAATTATACTATTATGATAATTATTTTATGATAATTATTATGATAATTATACTATAATGATAGTTATTTCATTCTTTACTCACTATGACAATTGTCTTATTATGATAATTATTACATTCTTTAATCTAAAATTAGAAGTGAAATGTCGGATGTAAATTGCTAACTATGAGAACGAGTTTCGTTTTGAATAATGAATTTTTAAAAAAAAAGAGAATTTAAACAAATAAATAATGTAAAAAGCATTTCTTAAAGCTTTTTATGTTACATTCTCCTTCGCTGAAATGCTGTAATTTACTTACAACACTTACCCTTTGCTCAAAGCATAAATTATATAAAAAGACTAAAATTTGTAATATTAACATATAAGCAATATTCCCATATAAAATATCACAAATTACCCAATTATTACACTGTTTGACGCTTCCATCCTCAGAAAGGGTTAAATTATTTCCAGTGTTATCCATGTTTTGCCACGTCTTAAAGGCATTAAAAATAAATTCCATTTATTAAATTATTGCTTATTTCTTTATAACCCTAGGCACAATATTTGGACAAAAATTTAAACTGAAAGATTATAAATATCAGACATGTAAACTGTAACAATAAAATAGATAATAAATCAGCTTAAATAATTTCAGTATTGTTTATAACACACTCATATTACTGAATTAAGAGAAGAAAAATTTCAAAAATATCTTGTGTTTAATATTAGATATTAAATATCAACAATATCTAATAATAAACAAAACTATCAACACTGTGAATAAGTTCAATGCATAAAAATATTATTAAAAGAAATATCAAATATGGGAAATAAGTTTTAAGTAATAAGTTTTAATCAAAATCAATAAACATTATTGTTATTTAAACGATAATTATTTCAAAGATTATTATCAGAGCAAAAGTACAGAATTAAATTAATAATATCGATAATCATCAATACCATTGAAAAAATTAATACCATTTATCAGATAAATATAAACACAGGTACCATTTTTTTAAATTATTTCAAAATATTTCAAATAAGCGGAAATCAAATTTAATAACACTTTCATTCCCGACAAAATTTCATAACCTCATCATAACATCAATCACCACTCGAATTGATATTCTAATAAATTTTTTATTAATTGATGTACCACAATCTCGCAAAAGTATCACTATAAAATCACACTTTTTATAATGCAGAAAAGTTTTAACTGAAAATTAGAAATCACTTTATTTTTAGTTAATTTCCAAAAGGGGAAACCCAGCACTCAGGCACCATTTCTTTCGTACACAAAATAGAACATTCGTTAAATTTCTGTAAAAAGATATCCAATCAGATTTTGTGAAGTCCGATTTTTACCCCTTTCATGATGACGTGGGCAGATTTTGATAACAGCAAAATAATCAAATTTTCTTCCGTTCACACTTAAATAATGACCCGAACTCTTTCGCCACTCCTGCTCACACATTCCATACCCTGCCCAACCAAAAAATAAATAAATAAAACATCCTGCTATGACGTAGTCATCGGCACACAGGGAGGAAAGACTTAAAGTGATTTGATCTCCTATACATTAAAATATGTCTAAGTCGAAGTGCTTTAATATGAAATGCAAGGGAATATCTTGCAAACTTATCCCGATAATCTCAGTCATTGGCTAAACGGGAATTATTCTTTCTTACAACTCATTCAAAAAATAGGTCGAGGAATTTCTCCGTTAAAGGAAAAACTTAAAAAGTTAATTTTTGCTTTCTTAAAATCTAAATTTAGAACTAAAATGCCAAATAAGAATAATAAATGTGAGAGGCTTTTCGTTTAGATTAATAAATTAAAGATAATTTAAATAAAGAAATAACATAAGATGTATTAAAGCTTTTTATGTTGCACACACACACACACGCGCGCGCGCGCACATATATATATATATATATATATATATAATACTGGATTATTCAGGTTTTTCTTACGCCTGTTTCGTATATTTTGATATTTCTGATCCATTCGCTATTATTTTACACTTTGGGATTGGGGTGGAAAAATTTAGAAGGCAGAATAAAGCAGTATGGCATTTGTCAACGAAAACCATATGCTCATACTCATTGAAAATTAATTTTATTNATAGTTAGGATACTAGAACATACTTACATAAGATTATCTTATTTTATAGGCCCACCTTCTTGTAGATTATGCGCAGTTAATTAATTAATTCTTATTTTTCTTTGTAATTTTTTTTGTCTCTTTATTGTACGGTGGTGATTTTTTGTAATGTAATGAGATAAAGGAGGAAAGTTTTCGCCTTCCAATGAGGTAAGCCGGAATGAAATCCCAGAGATGGTTGGTTGATACGAATTCCGCATCCTTCTTGCACCAACCACAGTGCTAACGTAAAATATTCTCAGTGGTAGATGTATCATGGTTCCTCTTACGGGATCTTAATCCTCTTGCGGGAGACTAATCGTGGGAGGTTTTCGTGGTTTTCTTCTCTATGTCACACAAATTCATGTCAGTTTCATAAAAAAGTTCTCCACGAAGGCACATTTCTCCCAATACTTGATCCAGGAATTCCCTTGTCTTCTTTCTATGAATTCAAAATTACAAGGCTGCAGAATTGAAC